GGGCCCTCCCAAAGGGAGCCAGCTCAGAACTGTCCAGTTTGGGATTTTGGGGTACAGTCTTATATGCCCTTCGAAGAGTAGGTGTTCCCAAGGGGCGCCACTCAACCATGATTAGTCAACACACTAGGAGGTGGGTCGTATCAAAATGAGGTCTTGAGTACTGGCTTTAGATCACTAGTCTACACAGGTCAATAATGCCTACCATCAAAGGAAATACCACCCCCAGTCTTGGGAGTCTGTCTCCACCCAAACCTGAGTAGAATAAAATCAATTCAGGCATGGGTTGGAATTTCACCAAGATAAAAAGATTTAATGCAATCTCATCATCAGAGATGTCTTTCTGAACAACTTCGGACAGAAGGCTGGCAGGGTGGAACTCTAAGTCTCCAAGACACAGATAACCAAGAGAAACCATTTTTTACATTGCCAAGTTGAAAAGTGAGAAGTAGTTTTGTCTTCTCTCTGTCATTCACAATTATGAGCCCATCTACCTTCATCAATGGTCTTTGCTCCCCCTTGATCCTCCTCTTTTCTCTTCTATAAATAAAAAGAAATCTTCTTGTATCAATAGCTTTAGCATTCGTAGTCAGCCTCACTGTTAGTCCTTGTGACACTATTCCTACAAAATAATTTACATGGGTTATCTCCTTTGATCCTCATAATCCTGTGAGCTAGTTTTATCATGCCCATTTTGGAGCCAAGGAAACTGAACCTCAAAGAGGTTAAGCTACTTGCCTAAGTCACATAACTGGTCAGTGTTGGGGCTGGCACATGAAGTCTGGTCTGTTGACCGCAAGTCCTATCATTCGTTCATACCATAAGTTCCTTGCTTTTATTGTGTCATAAATACCTTTGATTGTCTAGTGAGGTCTATGGATCTCTTCTTGGAATAATGGTTTTAAATGCTTATGATAAAATACATAGGATGACAAAGGAAAACAATTCTATTGAAATAGAGTCATCTCAGGTTTTTGTTTGTTTGTTTCTTTGTTTGTTTTTGTTCACAGATCCTAGGAAAAGTACTAGGCCTAGATTTGGGATTTGTCTTCAAGGATATGATAAAGTTTGGCTTTTAGAGCATCCTGGTTAGCAAAGCTAATCAATAAATTCAAGATTATAAAACCTTTTTTTTTTGCTTTATTTAATCAGTAGAGAAAATGGATCTAGAGTAAATATGAGGCTAAACATAAAATTATGGGCATTTACAAATATAAAAATTTAATAAAATTCCTGTTGTAACAGTATTGCTACCAACTCATGGAGTTAATTTCTATCAGAACTAAAAATGTTTTTGCATATAGAAATGTCTCAATAACTATTAGACACAGAATTGCCATTCTCACTGTACTTTGAAGAATGTGTGAGTGAAGCTATCACATCAAAGACATCTCCCTGTCTCCATACCAGCTCTGAACAAACATATAAATATAAGGGACCCATTTGGTGGTAAGGAGAGATTAAATGTTTGTGTAGGAAGGGTAGGATTTTTGTTCATTAAAGGCCTCTGAATATCTTTTCCCAAGAAATATGTCATGTATTTCACAGTATGTCTAATGGATTCTAGTTGTGGGGCCAAACTTATGTGAGAATACAGAAGGGATGAAATCTGTAAAGACAGATGAATAAAAGAAGAATAAGGTGGAAGAGGAGGAAAAGGAAAAAAGATTATAAGGAAAAGGAGGAGAAAACAGAAGATGAAGGTGAAGAAGCAGAAGCAGAAGAAGAAGGAGGAGGAGAGGAAGAGAAAGGAAATGGTTACAGAGCTACAACTCTCTCCCTATACTTTACCATATTCCACCTGGGTTTTCAGATAGTAAGGCATTCTCCTCAACTCCTGAAGATGCTGGACATCGGGGTATCATGTTGCATATACTTGGACTTCTCCATATGTTTGCTGATGACAAATTTTGGACTTCATAGGATCCTAGATCTAGGGCTATGAGGGACAACAGAGACAATCTACTTCATTCCCCTCATCGTATAGATGAGGAACCTGGAGCCCTACAGAGTTTAAACTTATCCATGATCATGTGGGGTATAAATATTAGTGATAGGGTTGATCCCAATTACCCAAACTCTGATGACAGAGACATGGACTTCACAGTGTACTACGGTATGAATGTCTGCCAAGGTGTGCTGTAACTTAAAAAAGAGAAGGTGGATAGTTAGACCACTTCACTTTTCATTAATCAGGTATTATTAAAGTATTATTATTCTTCTGGTTTCTGCATTTAAAATAAATATGGAAAAACTTTAAAAAAAAGGAAAACAAGGAAAAACAACAAAAAATGATTTGAGATGAAAAACAGGTCATGAGGAATGTGAAAGAAATTGGTATTTAGTCTATAAAAGAGAAGGCTTAATGACTTTCAGATATGTAAAGAGCCATAGAAGGAAGATATTTACCAGTGGTTCTTCATCTCAGTGAGTGACAAACAAGGAGAAATGGTCTTACATGGAAAGGAACTTGGTTCGATATAAGAAAGATCCCTACTCAAAAAGATGATTGGATTATTTAGAATATTAAATAAAGCCATAGCATTTCTCTTTCTGGAAGTCTTTAAATCTTAGTTCAACTTGGATGTTGATATGTTTGTGCACACTGCTCCCTAAGTGGCAGTACTTGATCTCATCCTGTCCAAAATTTGGTGATGTGACTTTATGGAAGTGATCCCTAAAAACAGAGGTTATTCCCTTTTCTGCAATCCCTTGGAGAGGAAAAATAGTTGTGGAACAGTATTAAAGTAACTGACCATCTGATTGTTATTTTTTTCTTTTACCAAATTTTAAAGAATAGTCTGAGAATTAGTTGAAGCAGAGAGAATTGATTCTCCTCTATTAACAAAAGTTTAATATTTTAAGCCCAGCAAAATGGAAGTACTGTATTAAAATGACTCAGATGTTTTATTTTCATTTTCAGCTGCATCTGGAAATGAAAATAAGTTATAGATACAGTCTATTCAGCTTTTTTAAACTTTGGTGTATTCAAGTGAGATGATATTTGTAAAGCTCTTAGCCTGGCCCATAGTAGGTACAATGTAAATGCTAACTGTTCTTATTATTTTATTAATTACAGATGGAAATTTCATTCATGAATTACCTTATCTAGGAGAACTTCAAAACACACTATATTAGAAACAGACACACATACACACACTGTATCTTCTTTCTAATACATGGAATTAACATGGTAGAATTGAATAGTTCGAATCAGTCAGTCAAAGGCCATTCATAAAAGAATCATTTGAAATAAACTGAAAGTGTAATTTATTTGCCAAGATTAAATTAATAATATATATGTATTCTACAATCCTACATTTGTATAAGTTTCCCATCGATAGTGATTAGCCCAGTAGTACCATGATGCTAAAGACACCAAGAAATTGACTTCAGTCACTAAGCATGCTAGTTAGTTTGACTGTGTTGTCTGGCCACGTGATATCCAAATCTAGCAAATGTGTGAAGTGACCTTATACATTTGCCTAATACCCTTGGAGTATTTTGTTCTCCTCTAGGGTATCATTTTAGGAAGAACATTGATGAGCTGAAGACCACCCAGAAGAAGACAACCAGCATAAGATTAGGTCATGTGAGAATTAATTGAAGGAACTGGTGATGTTTAACTTGGAGAAGAGAAGACCTTGGGGCAGGATGGTGGTTTTCTTCAAGTTCTTGAAGGGTTTTCATATGAAATTGGGATTCATTTTATTCCAGTTAGCTCCAAAGCACAGAACTGGGAGCAATAGATGACTATTGATAGGAAAAAATAGTCTTTATGAAAAGAAATCTTTTTAACAGTTAAAACTCTGCAAAAGTGTCATGCCTTAGGTGGCAGTAGATTTTCTTCCACTATAGATTTTCAAGCATAGGCTAGATCACCCCTTATTTATATTGTAGGGGAAATTCTTGTTCAGATACAGGTTGGATTAGATAGCCTTTGATGACTTTTCCAACTCTGAGATTCTGCAATTCTTTTCTGATTTTATCATAAGACAAGATAGTCTGAATGCATTAGTGAAAATCTATATAACCACTGCTGAGACTAGCAAGAACTCAGAACACTGTTATAGATATCGGTGTATATGTAGACATAGAAATAAATATTAATGATAAAAGTATAAATATATGTGTATATATACATTGTGCAGATGTAGATTATATATATACATATATATATATAATATCATATAGATATAGAGGTAGGTGTAGAGATTAGTTGTGGTTTAGTCATTTCAGTCATGTCCAGTTCTTTATGATCCAATTGGGAGTTTTCTTGGCAAAGATACTAGAGTGGATTGCCCTTTTCTTCTCTAGCTCATTTTTTATAGATAAGGAAACTGAGGCAAATGGAATTAAGTGACTTGGCCAAGATTCCACAGATAGTAAGTGTCTGAGGCCAGATTTGAATATTTTCATACATGTAGGTCCTTTTCCTTTTTTATCTCTTTGGGATAAAGACCTATTAGTGGTATTGTTGGGTCAAAGAGTATGCATGGTTTTATAGCCCTTTGGAAATAATTCCAAATTACTCTCTAGAATGGTTGAATCAGTTCACAACTCCACCAACAGCACATTAGTGTCTCAATTTTCCTTTTCTGTCATATTAGCCAATCTGATAGGTGTGAGGTGGTACCTCAGAGTTGTTTTAATTTGCATTTTTCTAATCAAAATTAATTTAAAACATTTTTTCATATGAGTATAGATAGCTTTGATTTCTTTGGCTAAAATCTTCCTGTTCATATCTTTTGATCACTTTGTTACTTATAGTCTTAAAGAGTTACCTGTTACCTGGAGTGCTAGGAGGTTAAATGACTTACTTGGGACCATACAGTCAGTATGCATTGGAAGCTGGATTTGAACCCAGGACTTCTTAATGATTGTCTCTATGTTTCTATACATTGCTGTAGGAACAAAAATATGCTGTAGTGATTTAATAATGGATATTATAATAGTTGACACATCTTTCTTTAATATGATTTTGTTTTGTTCCTTTGTCCTAGGCCCTGTCACAATACTGCCAACACGCTGTGAGGCTGATCAGTTCCCCTGTATTTACACACCGCAGTGTGTGCTGCTGTCTGGAAAATGTAATGGGCAGGAAGATTGCGTGGATGGAACTGATGAGTTGGATTGTCCTACCAGGTTTCCTCCTCAGACCTGTGGGAAAATGGAGTTTCAGTGTTCAGCAAATGAATGCATTCCATCTCTCTTGCTATGTGATGGAGTACCAGACTGTCAGTTTAATGAAGATGAATCTGCCTGCTGTAAGTCACTTTGCTCCACTATGACAAAATGATAAAGAAGCACTGACAGATGCAATAAAACTCCAGTAGTCTTAACATGAGTGTACTATCAATTGTGTATACATAGATGTGTGTGTTATACACACACATATATACACACATATATTGTGTATATAAAATTGTGTGTATGTATGTGTATATATATTGATATGTGTGTACACATAACACACATATATGCATATAGGAGTACATCTATCTATCTCTCCCCAAGGAAATGACGTACAGCACTTACCTAACAACTCTGAAGAACTTCTATCCTCTAGTGTTAGGAAAACCTATTGTGCTCTTAAAATTTATATTGGGAAAATACATTACTGGGGTAAATTTTGTTCACTTTTAAGATTGTGGACAGATATGACGGGTTCCAGATTGTCCAGTTAGGAGAATAGGTTAAAGAAATGATTCCTTCATGCTTTGTGCCTCCATGTTACATGGTCAAAACAGTGGGCCATAAATGATAATTACCTGTTTGGGAATAAAGGCAGAGTAATAAATGTGTGGAGAAAGTTGTAAGACCTGGACCTTTGACATAAAAAGGATCAAGACAAAACTAGTCGAGTGCTACATTGAAGGGGAAACTATCATGAGAAATCATATTTTCATAGGAATCTAATAATGTTATATGTGTGCATATTAGACATGGAGGTAAGTGGATGGAAAATGGGAAAGGTCACAGTAATAACCCTTAAATTGATCTAGAAAGGATGGAGACTTTTGAAGCACTAGACCTGCAATTGAGAATTGAATCCAGTCTTAGACACTTAATAACTGTGTGATCCAGGGCATGTCACTTAACCTCCATCTGCCTCAGTTTCTTCAACTGCAAAATGTGTATTAAAAATAGCACCTATCTCCTAGGATTGTTGTGAGAATCAAATGAAAAAAAATCTGTGAAGTGTATAGTACAGTTCCTGGCACATTGTTGGCACTTAACAAATGCTTGTTTCCTTCCTTTCTTTGTTCTCTGTCAAAAGATGCTTCAGTAATAGAATATAGAGTATTAACAAAGTATTTGTGAGAAAGACTGACCTGGTAATGTAAACATGACATGTTTTTAGTAGCAATGAGAAAAAAGGGCAAAGCTATTAAAATAAGAAGAATTTCAGTGAAGCCACTGAGGCGAATATCTTGGAGATTTTGATGGTTCAGTTCCAGACCACCACAATAAAGTGAGTAAAATGAAACATAGTGTGAACGTAATTCTTAAAATACGACAACAATGAAGTTTGTTGTGTTGATTGACTCTTCCTTTCATTTGAACATTTAAAGGACATTGTAGGGTTATTAATTGGCCTAATTCCAATATTGTTGTGTCTTGGAATGGGGAGGCCCAAGGAGAAGGAGAGGCATGGGGAACGGCAGATTGGTGGAGCAGTCAGAACACACACATTTATAGATTAAGGTCTCATCCTACATGGATGCAGTTTGTGATTCCCCAAAACAATTACATCTAAGATCACTGACCACAGATCACTGTAACATATAGAATGATACATGAAAAAGTTTGAAATATCGTGAAAATTACCAAAGTGTGACACAGTGACATGATGTGAGCACATGCTGTTGGAAAAAATGGCACCAATAGACTTGATCACTGCAGGGTTGCCACCAGTTTGTTAAAAAAAAAAAAGCCCGCAAAGCACAATCAAATGAAATACAATAAAACAAGGTATGCCTGTGTAGGATTGTTTGATCACTTAATCTGTAAACATTCATTAGGCATCTGCTATATGGCAGCAGTGTCTTTAGCACTTTTGAGAGACCCAGTACATGGAAACTTCAGGACAAGGATCATGGAATAGAGATAGAGATACTAGAAGAGGAGTAAATTTTAGCTGAGTAGAAATAGAAGGCTTCAAATTTCAGAAAATAGAGTCCCTAGTTTTCCTTGAGGTCCTTGTCTTTAGTAATGGTATCCAGTACACAACATTGATTTAAGAGGACTCCATCTCCTTATCTGCGTCCTAATATTTTTTCCCCATGTACATTTAGTTTTGTCAAATTTGTTTTTATAAACTGTTGTAAAATTTTACAAAACTTTGTGGTTTTATAAAAATTTTATAATACGTTTAGTTTTGTAAAATCCTATGGTATCTTCTGATTCCAAGTTGAAAATGGCCCTGATGTTGGAATTTTAAAACATTTATGGCAAGAAGATTTTACATTTAGAAAATCTGATTTATTGATCCCCCCATTTCCCCGTAACAATTTGCTCTGGTACTAATTCCAATACAAACTAAGTCTATCACTTTGGAAAAGTCTTTTTACTGTCCCAAGACTCAGTTTGTTCAACTAATAAATAAATGAAATGAAAGGCAACAGCGTGGTAGAAGGAAAGAATGGAATATCTGCGAGCCACTAAGTTACTCTGATCCAACCAGTACTTGAATTTGGCTTAGCTAGTGATAGACACCATTGATTCCACATTCCAAAAGGAACAGCATATTGTGGACAAAACAGAAGGCTCTTTATAGAGCACAGGAAACGTACTGTTGCCTTGCAACAAGATGGATACCATAACACATTCTTTAGAAACTAACTAGTTTCTGGATAAGCTGGAGATAGAACAAACAATTGTTAAACATAGTTGTTATGAAGAGGTAGGAGGTATTCTGGTAACAATAAATAATCTCATGCTACATTGTCTACAGGGAGAGCTACATAGGAGATAGAGATATCTTGGCACAAAATGATATAGAATGATAGAGTAAAAAACCATCACCATCATCACCATCATCAGATGGTGAACAGAATACTTGTCTTTCTACATGTAGAAATAGTCAGCAGTTCTTCTTGATCAGGGTAGGGGTCTTGAGGCCAGAGAGTGACTCAAGGTTACATGACAGTTATAGAAATACATTCCTAGTATCAGCATCAGCAAGAGTTGGCATTTTAAAGGTCTTTTATTCTACACAAAATAAATTTTCAGCTTTTAGACTTTATAGAATGAGCCTACATTCTTTTAAAATGAATTCATATTATACGGTTATTTTTTCTGCAATAAAATCTTTATAGTTGAAAAAGACTTCCTCCAAACTCAGAACTACTCTAAGCCCCAAACACAAATAACAGTTCCCATTTGACCACAAATAGCATTTCTAGAATGTTAAAACAATAAGGAATTTTTAAAATTACCATAATCTAATACAACCTCCTTGTTTTGCAGATAAAAGAATGTCACCCCAAGAGATAAAGTGACTTGTGTCTAGGCCTATTGATTCTAAGTCAGTTATTCATTTCATTACTGTCCTTTTCTTTTCCTAAGGGGCATAGCTTCATACATTTGAATGGATGTGGTTTTAGGGGTTCTCTAATGCAACCCCCTTTCTTTTTATAGATGGAAGAACTGATTCCCAGAGAATGAATGAATCAGCATGTATTAAGTGCTTACTGTATGCCAAGACTTTTGTTAAATGCTAGAGATATGTAAGTGCAAAAGCCCTGCTCTCCTCTAACGAAAGAGATGATACCTATAGGGTAGAAATTGAATGAGAACCCAGGTCCTCTGATTCCAAACTGAAAGTGGCCCTGATGTTGGAGTTTTAAAACATTCATGGCAAAAAGATTTTACATTTAGAAAATCTGATTTATTGATCCCCCCACCCCCCCCATAATAATTTGCTCTGGTACTAATTTCAATACAAACTAAGTCTATCACTTTGAAAAAGTCTTTTTACTGTTCCAGGACTCAGTTTGTTCAACTATCATTTGAGAGGGTTAAAATAAATCACCTCTAAGGTTCCTTCCAGCTCTAATATTTTGTGATCTATGATCTATGAATGCTATCTAGGACTGTGGGGAATCATTTTTATCTGACAGTGTTTTTATATTGGGTATATACACATCTGACAATGAATAAAAACAGAAGAAAAGAAGAGAGATAGTATATCACCTTCACACTGTCATTTTGTTCCTTGGTATTTATTGGTATTTCATAAAGGTGAATATATTTGTAGTGGTTGATATTATATATATAATATTTATATATATATATATATACATGCACACACATATATGTGGATAATAGCTTAATATATAATTATTTAGATTCAAAGTCCTTATAGCTATATAGCATGTCTTGAAATGATATTTTCATTACTTTACCAAAGGTTCTTTAGTGTGCACATTATTTTAGTGGTACTTCTACGATAATAGGGAAGGCAACACAGATGAATTGATGGGATTAGAAGAGAGTAATACTTTGCTTAGAGGTGGTATTTATATTTCCAAATGATCTGGGACAGTGATATTTTTATTAGTTAAAATATTTCATAGGGTATAAAGTTGGAAAAAATCTTAGAGATCAGCTGGTCAAATTGTCTTATTTTACATGAAGAAACTAAGGGCGAGAGAGTCAGGTGACTTACTTAGTATCTTGCCAATCAATAGACAATGCTTAATGAAAATTGAATTTACCATGGTCACTCAGGGAATAAATACAGGACTAGCTCATTGTGAACGAAGTATTTGTGCAACAGTGGTATCATCATATAGAAAATCCAATGCATGACATGCCTGAAGGAAATCTTATATCACCGTCAAATAAGCATCTCTCCATTTCCTCCATGTGGATTAAGATGAAATCCATCATTGGCTTTTATTTCAAAAGTTTGAGATACTCTAAGAAGCCTCATGGGGTACTAGATAGTGGATGAGCCACAGTCTTCATAAGTATCCTCTTGTCAGATTTAGAGAACAAAAGACATTTCTGAGTTTGAATCCTTAGGTTGTGAGGAACCTTAGAACTCAGGGAATAAGAGAGAAAGGACTAAGGTAGAGTCTTCAGAATGGTGACATGGAAAAGTTGGAATGCTCTATGTGACTTTGCAGTGGATAGAGGGCTAGGCCTGCAGTCTGGAAGACTTGAGTTCAAATTTAACCTCAGTCACTTACTAACTGTGTGACCCTGAGTGTCACTTCACTTCTGTCTCAGTTTCCTCAAGTGTAAAGTGGAGATAACA